GACAGGTAGCACATTGTTTCGTTGCTACTGGGTCCTGGGTGTCTAAAAATTGCCTGCTCATGGCAGGCACTTAATGAATATTTAAAGAATGAACACATGAATAATTTGACAGTAAGTAAACTGTAAAATATTTTTATAACTGTCCTATAATAGGATCCTCAAGTTCAAAGGAAAACGCTTAAGAGAATAACAGCTAATGAAGTATTTTAAATCTGAAATAATTATAAAGTCAATCAGAATATACCCACTCTCAATTTAAGCCAAGTTTGTTCTACTTGTTTAATAGAGTTGGCTAAACAGAAACTCAAATAAGTGCTTGTTAATTATACTAATTAACAAATGACTGTATTAAAACATGAGCTATGTAAAACCAAGTTAAAACGTGAAGTGACTACATGCGTGCAGTAAGCACCTCATCAGTAGGCAGTTTCTCAAAGGGCTAGGTCTGCTGCCCCAGTTATTTGTGGGGTTTCTGTGAGTGTTCAAGAGCCCCAGTGCAGCACCTCCAGGGCAGGTGGGGAGGGAGGAGGGAGGTTCCTCTTTCTGGCTGTCTTCATAGTCCCTGCTCTCAGCAATGTACAATTGAAGTCCTAGAGCCAGCAAAGGAAGGGGATAGCACACCCCACTACCACGTGAGGATCTACTGGGGGAGCTCAGGTGTGTGAAGAGAGCCAGCAGAAGAGGTCTTTGGGTGTCACCCCTACTTCACTCTCTATTTTAACTCAGGAAGAAGTTGATTTGCCCAACCTGTTACCAGTGCACTTATTTCAATAACCCTAGAATTTATATTTCAGCTCAAAGGTTATTTCCTTAGATAAACTTCCCCAAATTTCCTTATCTTAACATCCTCCACAGAACCATTATACTTTTACATTTTGGGGGATAATTTGATTCATCTGTTGAATTTCTCCAAAACTCCAGAACTCAAGCTCTCTGATGACAGGCACTATATCTAGTTTTGTGCCCCACCACGCTCTCAGGGCCTGGTGGTACGTACTCAAAAAGACAGAGACCTGCTAGGTCAATGAGCACAGAAGCCACTTTCCCCAAAGGCATTTGTTGAGTCTAATAAATTCAAACTTCCTTTTGGGTGACTTTGAAAGACAACAGGAACAGAAGTCACCTCATACAGGTGTGAAGATGTCCAACATAAATACTCCTTACAATAAAGTGATATCCAATGGCTATCCAGTAAGAATAAATGTAAATGAATACCTGATGAGAAATTTAAGTCTCGTAATGCCAGGGATTAATCTGGGCATTCTGGAGAACTTCAAGCCATGATCTTGATTTACCTAACCATTATGGTGGTACACCAGGCACTTGGCAGAAGCAAAAACCAGGTTCTTGTGTTATTCATACAACTAATTTTCAAGTATCTTGACAAACACATAGTTAAAAATAAGCAGACTCACAAGGAAACATCACACCATAAGCATAAACTAGCAGAAACAACAGATAACAAATACAGAACCACAAAAACTTAAGGTGTTAGTTCAAAGAGTATGGTGTACCTGAAAATTAGGAAATAAACTTCTATATTTCTTTTTTTTTTTTTTCCCCCAGGGGGCGGCCCAACAGTATTCATTTTATTAACTATCAGAACAAAAAGAACTAGCAATAAGGTCATGATCAGGTTAACTAGAGAGGAGGCCTAAGACTGGGAATGTAGGTGATTCGTCCTGGGGGGAAGCAGCACTACCAGCTGTGGGCAGAGGTGGGTGCCCATGTGTGAGAAATGCTGGCCTAGGTGACCTTGATGGAGCCTTCTGCTCTGTGGCTTTAAGGCACAAAGGTCCTATTCATCAGGCTGTTCTACATTTCTTTATGATAGGAATTAGAATATATTTTGAGCCAAAGGACAATGAAAATATTATATATCAGAACTTATTATAAAATGGTGCAATCACTTGGAAAAATATTTTGGCAGTTCTTCAAAAAGTTAAACTTATAAGAGTAAACCATTCTGACCCCAGATTCCACTCCTAGGTATATATTTAAGAGAACTGAAATACACAAATGTTCATGAAGCATTATTTGTAACAGCAAAAAATTATAAAGAACCCAAATGTCCATCAGCTTATGAATGAATAAGCAAAATGTGGAGATTTGTACAATAGATATTATTCATCCATAAAAAAGAATGAAGTTTCCATATGTGCTACAACATGAATGAACCTCAAAAATATTGTCAACTGAAATAATTCAGACACAAAAATCCACATTGTACAATTTCATTTACATAAAAAATCCAAAGCAGGTAAATCCATGACAAGAGACGGTAATGTTTACAGCTTCCAAAGGCTTGGGGGAAGGAGGAGGGCAGAGAGGCTGCCTACGGGTATGGGATATCTTTTTTTTTTTGTACCAGGGATTGAATCCAGGGGCACTCAACCCCTCAGCCACATCCCCAGCCCTTTTAAATATTTTTTTAGAGACAGGATCTCACTAAGTTGCTGAGGCTGGCTTTGAACTCGCCATTCTCCTGCCTCAGCCTCCTGAGCTGCTGGGATTACAGGTGTGTGCCACCATGTCCTGCTGGGATCTTTTTATGGTGATGAAAATGTTCTGAAATTAGGTAGTAGTGATGGCTGCTTAATGTTATAAATATATTAAAAACCACCAAATTGTATAACTAAAAGGGTAGATTTCATATTATGTGAATTTTATTTCAATTTTTAAAATTTTGTGGGATACAGCCATGTAAAAGAAAATGTATAGGTTTAAATGAATAAACCATTCTTACTAGTTTGCTAGCAGAGTACCCCCAAGTTAATCTGTTATTCTTACAAGTAAGGATTCTATACTAATTTTCTTACTATACTCACTTGTAAAGATATGTTTGAACATACCTGCAAGAAATTCTGACCTATGAAAAATATAGCAAATTTTGAAAGAACCATGTAGAATTATAGAAATGAACAATAAAATAAATGAATTAAAAACCAGATGGGATGATTTTACACAGCTGAAGGGAGAATTGTTTAACTGCAAGGTAGGTTGGAAAACAATTACCCTTATTCATGTGATTCGTTGAAGTATTTGGTGGTGAAATGTCACGATGTTTGAAACTTACTTTCAAATGGCTTGGCAAAATAGGTCCGTGCACAAGTATATACGGAGCCCTACATACAGTATGTTTATAGACATAAACTTGTTTAGCAAGAGAGGAGCTAAAACAAACATGGGAAAACAATTTGTGAATCTAGGGAAAGGGCATATGGAGTTCAGTGTCCAACGTACAGTCTTGGCTTCCAAATGCTGCACACTGTTCTGCCCCTACTTAGTGGTGCATTCCTCAGCCTCCTTCACCGATTCTTAACTTCTTCCTGATCTCTTATGCTACCATGGCCCAGGGCTCAGGCCTTCAACTAACTCCCAGCTTCCACTGCAGACCTCTCTCAAACCCAACTTTCACATCTAGGTTCTTAACTAACACCTCCAGTTGGTTATCTAAAAGACAAATTCCAAGGGGGAAAAATCAAAATTTTCTTCATCCATAGCCTTCTTTAGCTCAGTCAATGGCAGTATCATCTTGATCATCTTGAATTTTAGTTGCTCAATCCAATCACCTTGACTCTTCCCTTGAATGCCAGAGCTAATCCTGCTCACCTTCACAATGCCCTCCCATTTTTGAGGTATAAGCTCCTCTCTGAATACCCACAATATTTAAGTAGATTACCTGCCCCACTCCCTGTTCCTGCCAAAGCCAGTGATCATTTAGAATCTATATTGCAGCATGTAATTTTCTATCCTAAAACCACTATAATTTTTTTTAAGGTACCAGGGATTGAACTCAGGGGCACTCGGCCACTGAGCCACATCTCTAGCCCTATTTTGAATTTTATTTAGAGACAGGGGTTCACTGAGTTGATTAATGCCTCACTTTTGCTGAGGCTGGCTTTTAACTCATGATCCTCCTGCCTCAGCCTCTTGAGCCACTGGGATTATAGGCATGTGCCACTGTGCCTGGCTATAATTTTTATTTCACAGAACAAAAGCCAAAATCTCTAGCAGTTGTCTTCAAGAACCTCTATCATCTGGTACCATACCCTGCTCTTTGCTTTATGACCTCAAATCTCCTATGACTGTCCCCCTTGTTCATTTTACTCCAGACACTCTGGGATCCTTGCCACTCCATAGACAACCAAACATCCTCCCGTCATCTTGGGGTCTTTGCACGGACAGTTCCCTCTATACCTAACCTAATGTGCATGATGAAAACCAGTTTCTGGGTGACTGGGAGAAGGACCCAGGCATCAGTATATTTTTAAAATATTCCAAGTTTCTTCAAAGGTCAGGAATTATTTTAGCCTTGAGTTGGTAATTGCCCTATTCTCTCAAACAAATAGGAGACAAAATCAAAGTTTCTGTGGTGATTCTAATGTACAGCAGGGTTGGGAATCACTAGTCTAGAATCCCCAAACTAGGTCATTTTGTCCATAAATAATTGAGACGTTTCTATTTGAAAGACTGTCTTAATGAATTAAAAAGATATACATAAGGTGAAAAAAACAAATTTATTTTCTGAAATAGAAGAAGAAAAAAGTATGTGCTTGAATTCACTTTGAAATGTATATTAACAACAAAGCACCTGTCCCACATCCTACTTGAATTTTCAACTTAGTTCTCAACACTGACATCTGAGAGAAGAAAAGGGAGATTTCTGGCCTTTGGTTTGTAGGACTTGAAACTTGCAAGAGAACATGTGAGAGGTGCACTCCAATACAGTTCTCCCAGGTCCTGGCAGAGGCATGTGAACAGTGGGACTCCACACAGCTGGGAAATGAGAGGCTTCTTACCGCTCACGTATCCAAGAGCTTTCAAATAGTTATTTACAGTTTGAAGTCTTGCCAAAACTTTCACTAATGCTTCCCCAATTTTGAGATAAAGAATGAAATTCTCTTTAGTTTCAAATGAATTAGTATCTAAATCTGAAATTATCAAAGTGACTTCTTTCTCTTAAAAAATAAACCATCCAAATGAATTTACTGGTTTGTTAATAAACCCAGCAAGGAGAAATTAAACCATTACTTTTTGCCCATGGTTACAGGAATCTAGAAAATGCTAATGTCAGTCTTTGAGACGTGGAACCACCGAGTTCTATCAAAATGTCAGCTGAGATGATTAGATTTGATCTGAACTTCCCTCAGAAGACTGGGGGTCCTGCAAAGATTTGCTGGTTTGCAGACTACTCCCACTCATGCTCATGAGATGGCTGCTGATGACACTGAGTTCTTGTATCACTGTGCTCAGATCTTCGTGTAGTCTAACTACTGCACTTTTTACATCCCCTAGGAGAACTTTAATGGAACTCTTTGCTTCGGGTTCCCTAGGCAAGCCTTTGGTTGGTTGAAAACTAGAACAGGGGACAGAGCAGGAGTGGTCTACATTTTGGGCAGAGAACTCTACCCAATTACTCCTGGAAATATGACTTGTCTTCTTAGCAGAATCAGAGTTATCTGGAAGCATTTCTAGTAGATTGAAGCTGTCATTTTCCTCTTCATCAGAAAACAATGGACCACTGGGAGTAAAATGTTGTTGAGCCTTGGCTGTCTTATCTTTATGTTGAAGGGAGGCAGAACGTGACTGCTGGTGGGACAAAGTCCACAAGGAAGATCCAGGCAAGGTAGGGGGGAAGTGATGAACTGACTTCTCTGGAGAGTTCAAATCAGGAGATGACACAGATAAAGTAGAAAAGGAAGATGTTCCCTCAGAGGTAGTTGGAACTAAAATGTATAAATGAGAAAGATATGTAATAAACAAATGGGAGTAATAGCTAGAATAATTCTATAATGTAAATGCCTACCAAGAAAATCTCAATATAAACTACTTAGAATTTTAAAGGTTAAATATTCATAATAAGCCTTAAAAATCCAAAGCAGGAAACTGAGAAAATATACAATGTACGTATGTATGTGTATGTACATATAAGTACATATATGTACATACACATAAATTTATACACAGTATTGTTGAGATACATGGTATTGGTGAGATAGCTACAATAATACCACGGAGGGGCTGGGGTTGTGGTCAGCAGTAGAGCTCTCGGCTACCATGTGCAAAGCCCTGGGTTTGATTCTCAGCACCACATAAAAATGAATAAATAAAATAAAGGTATTGTATCCAACTACAACTAAAATCAATCAATCAATCAATAAATAAAATAATACCATGGAAATAAACACCAAATAGAATTATCAACATTCATCTTGACTCCCCAATCCTGCCCAACATATTTTTATACTATTATAAACTTCATCAGAGAAAGAAAAGTATTAAACCCTTCTTAGTGGCAGCATTTTAAGTTGGTATTTAAAGTAGAAACTCTGCGAAGGCTGGAACTTAGTCCTTCATCTTTTCTTCCCCTGAAGAGATTATGATGATAAAATGAACTCCAACTACTACAAGGCTACAAAATTTAGAGAAATTAATTTTTTTTCTTTTATGGTCAAATACAGTCAAGAGTGGAGTCCGACTTATCTGACATCCTGATTACTTTCACACACAGCTATGATAATTTTCTTCACCAGGAAATTATAAGTAATAAAAAGTATTCTCAACCTGTTTTCTGTAAAATTAAAGATTCAAGAAAAAGTTGACTTCCTTTCGTGCAAAATCATGTTAAATACTTTCTCTCACACTTCATTACAAATCATTATTTCCCAAACCATTCTGAGATACAGTGCGTTCCTGAAGATGTTAGGCATTTTGTGAAAATTGGGCTTCCTAGTGCATCAGAAATGGGAAATTGTACCTGTGCCTCCCATTAGGAGATTAGCAATGTCCATCAGCACGTTTAAAATTCTGAGAACTCTCTGGTATCTTATTCAAGTGTTTTCTAAACATTCCTAAACACAGAATGTTGTCTTCTTGCAATATCTATTTGCATTCCTTTATAGATACATGGTACAAATTGGTGAAATCCATTTCTCAAGTCTTTGCGACTCACTCTGAACTTGCTATTTAAAAAAAGACTTATTCAGTGCACATCACAGAACAGGGAAACAGATGCCTACCTCTTAGCACACATGATTATCTTTATTATTTTATTCATATTCATGTCCCTTCTAAAGTAAATTGGAACTCTATAAAAATATGGTCAGAGCAGGCAGCTACTCTCCATTTTTTGCTTCAAAGCCCTTTGCAGCCTATCTCCAGTTCTCAGGCAAAATGCCAATCATAAGAAACTTTTTTTGGGGATGAAACAAGTATTCTCAGCTGGTGTAGCAGCAGGACACAAAATGGAAGCAGGAATTTCATCAGCACATGGTCAGGCCAAGCCAAGCACACTCAAGAATCTAGGTCAGGCTCATCCAGCAGACATTCTATCCTTGGGTTAAAAAGCCGCCCAAGCCAGTGGCACGTCAACGAGGAAAGTCTCGAGTGAGTGCGTATGTCCTGAGTCGCACTGCTGCACTCTGAACTAGGTGTACTTTGTGTCTGGATCACAGCTGTCATCTGACATGTCCCTTCACCATCTTCCCCAGCTGGCGCCCTGCGTTGTATATCCCACGTCCTCCTCCTCCTCTGTTAGCCTCACTGTGCTGAAGCACCGTCTTCAGGAGTTGCTGAACAAGATGCACGAGGGGGAAAGGCCGAGGCACCTGCCTGACTGAAAGGGCCTGTAATTCTAACTTTAAGCTTAATGACAGCGTGCTTAATAAAGAATCTCTTTTCTTTCAGAATTCTGAAGGCCATGGTTCATCCTCTTGTTTCCTGTATTGCTATTCAGGAGTTGGAACCATTCTAGTTCTGATTTTGTCTAAATTTCCTTTATCTCTGAGGTACCAGAGAACTTCCTCTGTGGCTGGTGTCTGGAGCCCCAGTGCGGTGCCCTGTGGCGAGACCTTCACGAAGGTCAAGTGGAGGTGGACGCTCAACTGGCAACTCGTTTCCTTCAGCTTCAAAAAAATTTTCTTCAATAACTTAATTGTTTTCTGTTCTTTCTGAACTTCTTCTTATTTTGATGTCAGACCTCTTAAACTGGTTTTCTAATTTTCCTAACCTTTGCTCTATTTTCTTGGAGATTTTGTCAACTTTAGCTCCCAATCCCACCACTGAGGTTTTCATTTCTGCTATTAAGTTTTTAAAAAAGTTTTCTTTTCCCTTCATAGAGTAACTTGCTTCCTCCAAGTTATTTTTCTTTGTTTTTTGCCCCACTTTTCCATGTGAGAAGCTTTTTCAGACGTTTGGCAATCCTTGTCTGCGTCCGATGGAAAATAAAGGATTCAGAAACTGGAGGGAAGCTTTGAGAAAGAACGTGGAGCTCGGGGTAGAGCCCCTGGGTGGGTTACTTGCTGGGGAACTACTCATGTCAATATCTTTGGTTCCTTCCTCCAAGGCCAGCTAGATTCTTCTGAGAAGAGTTCTCCTGCCTGGAGGGTAAAGGTCCAGTCACCAGAGTGGGTGGAGCCAGTGGGGAGAAGGGGCTGAGGCTCGGCAGTTAGTTGGCTTGTGCCACTGAGGCTTGGTTATAGTACCCTCACCCTCAACTGTCCCTAGCATGTCTCATTTCACAGACTTTCTCCAGAAAACAAACCTGCAGACTTTGCCAGGAGCTGTAGGGGTGGGTAGGTATTCAGGGTAATCGTTCACCTCTTTGGCAAGGTAAAGTCTAGGGATTTAACTACTTTTCAAATAAATGTTTTCTAATTCTCTTTGTTTAGCACCTGCTACAGTTTGGCTGTGGTTTCTTTCCCCTAGGTTCAGGTGCTGGAAGCTTGGTTCCCAGGTGGCGATATAGGAGGTGATAGAACCTTTAAGAGGAGGAGCCTAGTGGGAAGTGGTCAGGTCATCAGGCAGAGCTGTCCTTGGAAGGGATTAATGTGGTTCTCATAGGACCCAGGTCAGTTCCACAAGAGTGCATTGTTATAAAAAAGAAAGGCTGACCCCAGATCCTTCTTTGGCTTCCTGTCTCACCATGTGATCCTTCACTCTCACATGTGTCCCTGCAATGATCCCATCCATCCGTTGTAAGGTTGCCAAGGGGGCCGGTGCCAGAGCCAAGCAGATGCTGGTGCTGTGCTCTTAAATATTCTAAACTGCGAGCTAAACAAACCTTTTTTTTTTTTTTTACTGGTAAAGTATCCAGCCCTAAGTATTTTGTTACATCAACGAACACAGACTAATAAGCACTGACATGGAATATCATTTTAAATATGAGGCAAAGGACTCACTAAGAGGCTAGAAATATTTCCCAAGATTACAAGGCTAAAAGGAAGTAGAAACAGGATTCCAATCAAGTAACTCTTTTATCTTGAAGTGTATGATCTTAACCAATAGATTCTCCTGCCATACCATTCTACTATCTTATAATTTTTTTTCTAATAGATAATTATATTAAATTTTGGATGTAAATTTATAAGGCAGGTAACCAGGATAACGAGTGCATTTGACATCTTATTCATAAGGAATGGCTGAAAGATTCAGAATGTGGGACAAAGAATGAGAGACTGTGTTTATTTGAAGATAGTTGCAAAACCTTAGCAATATCATCTGTTTATCCTATTGTCCCTTTAGAACTGTGATCAATAGATGAAAGATATAGGAAAACATGTTTTAGCCCAATTTTTATGCAATAAAACTTTCTAAACATCATCATTTTTCATGCATGAAACATGCTGCTTTGGGAAATGGTAAGTTTCTTGACACTGAGCTCACACACTGACCGAATGACTCTGGCAGGGTGTTTAATGCATTAGGTGGCGGATCTGTATGTCCTTGAATAGATCCCAAGATTCTGGGATCTAAAACATATTTGAGCTAGGTATAGTGGTGCATGTCTGTAATCCCAGCAGCATGGGAGGCTGAGGCAGGAGGATCACGAGTTCAAAGCCAGCTTCAGCTACAGTGAGGTGCTAAGCAACACAGTGAGACCCCTGTCTCTTAAAAAAATACAAAAAAAGGGCTGGGGATGTGGCTCAGTGGTTGAGTGCCCCTGAGTTCAATCCCCGATACCAGCTCTACCCCCAAGAATAAAAAAACAAACAAACAAACAAAAACATATTTGCTAGAACACTAAGAAACTTGTAGAAATAGGGGAATCTGTGTTCACTCTGGTCAGAAAGGATTTAAGAAGAAACTTCTAAATAGGTCAAGAGGACAATTTTGAGCCAAATATTAATATAGTGCTATCACATACAAAGAGTTAATAGTTATGTTAGTGATGGATACATGCTACGACTAAAAATCTTGGCTTAACTTTATGCTAGTGGTTCTTGAATGTAGCAGCAGCATCTGGGAACTTGTTTGAAATGAGGTTCTTTGGCCCTATCTCAGACCTATGAAAACAGAAATTGAGAGTTGGGCCCAGAAAACTGAATTTTAACCAGCTTCCAGGTGTCTCTGTGGTATGCTGAACTTGGAGAACCACTGTTTTCTACTCTCTGTTCACCTTTCTCTTCCTTTGTGGTCACGGCTTGTCATTGTCTGTACTTCTACAGCTTGATTCCCAGGATGTATGACGCTTGCACTTATAAAGCCATTTGTTTCTAATTGCCACACACCAATTTACTTTTGTTTCCAAACACTACACAGCTGTACCACACTTCACTCTGCTCTTGGGATGCATCTCTGCACCATTTGATCCCCCTTCTCTGGCTCCTGCGAAGTGGTCTGGGCATCTCGCTAAACTTCATCCTTTCCATACAGCCCACTCAACAGAGATGACAGGCAGCAAACACTGCAAGTAAGATGCACCGAGGCAGGTTTTACAATCTCCCTG